TAATTTAGTGTTGGTAGTAGTATATAAATTATAGGTTGTATATAAGGATATAGTATAGGAAGGAAGAGAGATATGAGGCAATTTTAGTCTCAAGGTTTAAGGGAAGATAAAGAGTGTATACACCTACGCCATTGTGATCGATTATGAGCCATGTCACACAGAGTCTACAATCATTGGTTACGATAGTCACGCGGACCCCAACCAGGTAGTCTGCATCTGCCAACATGGCTCAGGCTAGAAGTTAGTGACTTCAAACACTGATGCCATGTTTTAGTTTGGCCGCCCCTAACTCTCTTCCAACCGTCCCCAATACTAGTCATCATAGCGCGTCGTGGTAATCGGTGTTCAGGCATACGTAACACATGGCCCAACCATCTCAGTCGATGAAGATTCATCACCTCATCAACTGATTTACCATCGTTCCCTAATATCCTGCGTCTAACCTCACTATTACTTACTCGGTGATCCCAGCAGATGCGAGCAATATTTCGAAGGCATCTGTGGTCAAATACTAGTAACCTACGAGTATCTTCTACTCTTAATGGCCATGTTTCACAGCCGTAAAGTAGGACAGAGCGAACTGCTGCGCAGTATACTCGTCCCTTAATTGATAGACGGATATCTCGTCTTCGCCATAGGTGACGTAAGTTGGCAGAAGCCAAACGAGCTTTTTGAATCCGTGTTGAGATTTTGTCAGACACCAACCCATTAGGGCTGATCAGACTTCCAAGATAAGTGAAGTTGTCGACGCGTTCGACTACTTCACTCTCTATCCTTAGCTCGGGTGTTGACGCAGGCCAGTCCTGGAGTAACAATTTACATTTGGATGGGAAGAAACACATCCCAAACATCCTGGCATTATTACTGAGTTCCAACAGAAGACTCTGCATTTTGCCAGCGTCTTCACTAAACAGGACTATGTCATCTGCGTATTCTAAGTCGCTTAGTGGTCCCCCTGGTAGGAGATCAATTCCTGTAGATTCAGTCGAAGAGTGACATTTCCAGAAACAGGTCTATAATGAAGTTAAACAAAAACGGGGATAGTGGACAGCCTTGACGGACACCACTTGAGGTTGTAAAATCATATGACAGTTCGCCATAAGCTCTCACTCAACTAGTTGTGTTCGAGTAAAGAGCCTTCACAAGGTTTATGTACTTCTCAGGTACACCTTTCAATGACAGACACTGCCACAGAACCTCTCGGTCTACAGAGTCAAATGCTGCTGTCAGGTCAAGAAAAACTATCATTGTCGGACGCCGATAAGCGTGTCTGTGCTCTAAAACTTGACGAATGGTGAATATGTGGTCGATACAGCCACGACCAGGTCTGAAGCCAGCCTGATTTTCTCGTGTTTGCAGTTCACGAGTCTTAGGCGCCTGATAATTATTGAGGCTAGTATTTTAGATGCTATGTTAGTCAGACTAATCCCTCTATGGTTATCGCAGGATGATTCTGACCCCTTTTTATATATTGGGACAATCAGTGATTGTGACCAGTCGGATGGGATTACATCCGTCTCCCAGATTTTAGCCAGAATATTAGTCAACCTAATCGCTAAAATTGGACCACCACATTTAAAGACCTCTGAAGCCAATCCATCTGGACCAGCTGCTCTTCCTCGTTTCAGATTACCTATAGCCTTTTGAACTTCAAGTAGGGTCGGGGGGCCTACTTCAATGTTCCATTCAGGTTTTCTAGGAATAGTGGGTAGTTGTGCAGTAGCTGAAGGCCAGCTAAACTGCTCCTTAAAGTGTTCCGCCCATCGTTCTAAACATTTAGGTTGAGAGCAGATAAGGGTTCCGTCTTTTTCCGAGATTGTCTCACACTTGACTTCTTAATTCCGGTTTCTTTTATTAGTCTGAATAGTTACCTGGTGTTGCCTACAGCCGCTGCCTTTTCCATCAAGCCCTGCTCCTAGTGGAACTAGTGTATAAAAATTAGCAAGAGTCCTCAACAATGAAGTCATCCTGTCGCTGCAAACGGCAACCATTCAGAAAGTCTGAGCCCAAAATAGTATATCGAACTTTAGCGACGATAAGTATCTGATTGAAAAAGTGTCTAATATTGAGGTCTAGGACAAGTAATTGTTCTCTACAGGTTTTTATCTCATTCTTGTTTTTAAAAATATTCGCGGCGTTGGCTTATTGGTCGCTGGGTTGACGTGACTGAGACTATACTAATTCCAAAATCCCTCCCCACCGGGGACTTTGAACATGAAGTTCATTCCAACACTAGAAAAGTAACCGGCAACAGCCGTTGCTGTTACTCCCTGCCCCCAAATGCCCTGGTACGACCGAGAGTGGGGAGAGTCCACTCTCCCTCTCCAAATGCTCTCATATGGCCACGCGAATATATAGCCTCTGTCAGGGAAGTCCTACTCACTGCCTTTTCGTGACGGGGGTGTTGTTCACAAAAATGAGAAGACGAAAAGCGAATGTCCGGCGCTTTAACCGGGTTGGTGGACAAGGCGAGTCCACCTATGGGAGTTGGAAAACCATGATTCCAAACCAATGGTGCACATGGGCTCCAGTATCCTGTAGGAACGAATGGCGTATGAACCAACTGTTGGGCACCGGCTACCATGGGACTGCATCTCCTCATGATGCTCCACTGCCTTGTGGATCAGACCTATAGGTCAAAGGCTCCGGGTGTGGCCCCCTAAGAAAACCACCTGCTTCAGTTCGGGCACCTGGGCAGTATCACAGCCCTCACAAATCAAATGAGATTTGTAAGGCGTATATTTATCTGATGCTTCCTTGTACCAATATGTGTTTAAATAAAATAAGTAAAATAAATTAACCACGTTTCACACCATGGACAAACACTTTAGAAATTCGCATGTGGTAAAACAATTAGCTTTTTACTATATTATGTGTGGTACTAACAAACACGTTCTCTGATTTGATAATTTTGAATAAATTGAGCATTGGGTAGATTGTTATAAATAAAATATATATTTGTAATATCATTGGGATATTACAAATATATATATATACGTTCTCTGTTTCGGCGTTCTGGAACGCGAACTCCTGTTATCCCCTTTGCAGAATGTTGTTGAATACCAGCTACGTAAATCTGGTAGTAGACGACAACACTGTTGGTCCTGATGCGCAACTTGACATAACAGAAACTACTTGAACTCATGACGTGCTACCTAGTGTTACATTTAAAATCTTGTCTATTATGCAGGATCGATTCTCGAGATCTAAGAGCTAACTGGAAGGGCACAGTATCTGTCAAACTAAGGTGGGTAACCTTTGCATTTACGTCCCTCTTACAAAAGCATTATCTCTATTAAATGGTCCAATCACATGTTTCGTTTACCTAAGTAGCTGTAGTCGTGATCTATTAGCAAACACATTTTGCTGTCGCTTTCCCCGGTCGCCTTTCGTTAAATGTGGTGGTATGTTGAATAATTGCTTGCTTTAGATTATTACACGCTTCTATCGTCTGTACGTTACTTATTAAATCAGCAATTTATGTGGATATCTGTCGGTAATATTTCCAGAACAAGACTATACTTTGTGGCTTGTAAGCGAGCGTTTTGACGGTGGAATCTAAACACAACATGTACAAATAAAATTCTGGGTTTGATCTTACCAAACGGAAGCAGATTCAAAGAATGATTTATTACCTAGCTCCGTAGACCTTTTAATGACTCATGAACCAAGTAATCAAAAAACTAGAGTTGGCGTTCGTCTATATCGATTGTGTTCTAATTGTTGGCGATGCGCGAAATGAACAATTTGATCATGTACACCAATTATTTCAATGATCTTAAAAATTCGGTGCAGCCATAAACCCCTCCAAATTTTTATTTGGTGTTGAAAACCTGGGGTTTTTAAGCTATAGTATTAAACAATTGGAGGATAACATCGAAGCTACTAGAAATTCTCCGAAACCAGATTTGGCAAATACACATTTTCATTATTGGGGGGCGGTTAATTCCTATCGATGTTCCATTTCACATCAGTAAATATGCAACTTTTTATTACTGCAATAAAAGAGCATGCTAAAATGTTACTTTCTGAAGCTTTACCTCAGTAAAATCAGTGACAGACAAAATTATAATGTTATCTTACATAAGCCCAGATCTTGTTGTAACTCTGATTTTAGGCACTGTGTTTCAACAAAAGCGGATAACGAAATCAAACCATTGGTTATGAAGTTGAAGTCGGGTAAGTTTGTTTGGCCCAGGATGAATATAAATATACAACGAAGGACCCGGAGTTGTTTGTATTGTCAACGCAGTAAAATTTACAGGCAATCAATAACCAGACAAGAAAAATTTGGTCTACTTAACCAACGCTCCCAGTAGGTGCACAAACTTAGTTGGACCACTGACCTCATCTAATGGGTTTACGTACATTTTACACTAGTTGTTCGTTCTAGTGAGTGATAAGCAGTATGGATCGTAAACGACATTTCCGATGGGAACACAGTTACCGCATACCTTAGCAGACGGGTTTCAATACAAGCAACCAAAAAGGCGAATAAGCAGGAATAAACGGGACATTCCGTCAGAAAATATGGGGAAAATAAAATAGAAACGTGCCAAAAAGTTTGTCTCGCCAAGTCATGGTTTGCTTTTTGCATAATTAAATTCTGAGCTATCTACATTTCGCCTGGCCTCAAATATATCCTATGTTCGCTTTACTTCAACTACAAAGCACCCGAAGACTGCTGTCGGCTGTATTGAAATACGATTCTTGGTTAAAGACATCCACGGAAAGGAAATACAACCATAGTTTACAAGGAGATGGGCAACAGACAGATGCTTGTAACTTGATTTCACTGTAAGTGCGAAGTCCAACTTATTTGTGGAGACACAATCATGGTCATCCCACCAGTACTACAGCAGAAAATAGACTTGTGGAGAAATTCAACAGACAACGTCACATGATTATAATAAAACGATCGATCTACTTACGTTCTATAATGCCTACAGTATTAAATCAACGACAACCACTTGTTGTGACCCGGTTACCTCATAACGTACCGTAAAATGCAAAATTCCCTCAGTCTTCAGTTTCAGTTTCAGTTTGGAAAGGACAGGAGGCTTGATGGCCTGTGTTAGTCCTGGCAATGATGGTCTCTCAGCTGATCTAACTTTCTTTTGAAGGAGTCGACGGATGGAGCCTCAACCACGTGCTGAGGTAATGAATTCCACTCGTTGATTATTCGATGGGAAAGTCGGTAGTCAGCTGACAGTTTCAGTTTCAGTTTCAGTTTCAGTTTGGAAAGGACAGGAGGCTTGGTGGCCTGTGTTAGTCCTGGCAATGATGGTCTCTCAGCTGATCCAACTTTCTTTTGAAGGAGTCGACGGATGGAGCCTCAACCACGTGCTGAGGTAATGAATTCCACTCGTTGATTATTCGATGGGAAAGTCGGTAGTCAGCTGACAAGTAATTCGTTCTGGGCTTGTGAACTTTTTTGGAGTGTCCTCGTAGATTTTCTGTTTTGGAAGACAAGAAAAATGAGGGCATATCAGGTGCAAATTTGTCATTAAGCAATTTGAAAACTATAATCAAGTCACCTCTGATTCTTCTATATGACAGCGGGAATAGGTTTAGCTTGGTCAGTCTAGTACCATACGGGAGCTTCGCTATTCCGGGAATCAGCCTAGTTGCTGTTCTCTGAACTCTTTCCAAGAGTTCACTGTCTTTTTTTAGGCAGGGGCTAGCTGCTTGTATACAGTACTCAAGTTTAGGGCGTACGAACACTGTATACAAAGTCAGAAACGTTTTAGCGTCAAGATGCCTAAAAGCCCTGCGTATGGACCATAAAGTCCTAAAACCTTTGGCGGCTATTGCACGGCAGTGTGCAGTAGTCTTTAAGTCTTGACTAACGATGACGCCTAAGTCATTGTGTGCCTGAACAATAGGTAACTCAGTGTTATTCATCGTGTATGTATCTGTACCCTGATGGCCAATATGCATCACAATACACTTGGAAGTGTTTATCGGCAATTGCCAGGTTTGGGACCATTCAGATAATCTCTCCAGGTCATTTTGAAGTTCTAAGCTATCGCTCTTGCTTTGTATCGCTCTCCATATCTTGACATCATCAGCATAGAGTAAGACCGATGACGATAGTAGACGAGGGAGATCATTTACGTACAGGAGGAATAACACTGGCCCCAAAACTGTACCTTGGGGGACTCCACTAAGCACAGTTTCCCAGCTAGACAACTTGGAGTTCACCCTTACTCTTTGTTGACGCCCAACTAGGAAGTCTTTTATCCACATCAATAGATTGCCTCCAATCCCGACATTCCTTAGCTTATATAACAGCCGGTTATGCGGAACTTTGTCGAAAGCTTTGCTGAAATCGATGTAAGCTACGTCTATAGGTAATTTTTGGTCCTTAAGAGCGCACCAGCTTTCACGAGCGACTAATAAGTTTGTGAGACAAGAGTAACCTGTTCTAAAACCATGCTGCTTTTCGGAGAGGATCCGGTTTTCATCGAGATACTTTAACAGTTCCTTCCGAATAATCTTTTCTAAGATTTTAACAACCACACTAGTTAGGCTAATTGGTCGGTAATTCTCAGGCTTATGTTTTGTACCTGTTTTGAAGACTGGACTTACTATGGCGTTCTTCCAGTCTTTTGGTAGACGACCCTGGGTTACGGATAGATTAAAACATACACTTAAAGGGTTCGCAACAAAGTTAGCTAATTCCTTTAATAACCTAGGATGCAGTTCATCGGGTCCAGTGGATTTACCTATGTCAAGCTTAACTAGCAGACCAAAGATATCGAGTTCTTTAATGGTTACGCTGTCCAGTGCTTGTGTGGGTGGATTTTCATGGACTGGTGAGAAGGGTGTTTCTATGGTGTATACATCGCTAAAGTATTTAGAGAATACTTGAGCTTTGCCAAAGTCATCCTCCACTAGTGATGTGGCAGTACTGTCTCCCCATAATGAAGGAACATTTCTTCTTCTTTTTGTCCTTTGGTTTATATACGAATACAAGCGTTTAGGGCATTCTATGGATTCCCTAACGATTTTCTCTTCGTACAGCTTTCTGGCCTTACGGAGGGTCGAGGCACAGGTATTTCGAGCCTTTTGATACTGAGATTTCGCCTCGTCAGTCCCCAGTAACCTAAATCTGTTCCACATTTTCCTTCTTTTACGGAGAAGGATGCGAACCTCCCTACCGAACCACGGTGGGGAGTTTCTCGGTCTCTTAGGTGTAGTCCAAGGGATGTGGGGGGTGGTAACTTTTAAGTATAAATTCCGGAATACGTCCCAAGCCGTTTCGATTGATGACTCTGGATCTAATTTCCAATCTACTAATGATGCTGATTTCATGATGTCTGCTATGTTTGCTTTCCAGACGTTAGGTCTGGATTGAGCTGAAGTGTACTCGTGATCGACAGTTATATGGAAGTCAAAGCTTAAAACTGCATGATCACTTTTGCCTAGGGGTGGCATGTAATCCAGGTTTGCAACATCATCCTCATAATGAGTCAATATAAGATCTAGTAAGGATGATGCAGAACCCGGGTCGTACCTAGTTGCTTCCTTCACGTGTTGCACTAGAGCACAAGTGATTATCGCATCAACTAGTTCCTGTTCGAAGGAGTTTGCTGACGATTCAGTCCGAAGATTTCCCCAGTCCACCATGGGTGCATTGAAGTCCCCTAAGATTAGACATCGATCACTTCGTGATAAAGTGTTGAGACTGCTTAGCAGGACCTCGTTTGCCTCACAGCTTGGACTGCGATAGATCAAACTAAGTAGTAACTCTTGTCCCCTGCATTTCAGGCGGCAGCAAACTAATTCATACGTCCCACTCTCATGGGATACACTGTCGATAATGGTGAATGGAATAGCATTCCTAATGAATAGAGCTACTCCCCCTCCTTTACACGTTTGTATTCTATCGGCCCTTACCAATGTAAAACTCTCGAAATCAAGTTCCCTACTATCTATAGACGGCGTCAGCCATGTTTCTGTGACTGCGATTATGTCTGGCCTAGTTGAGTCAATCTGTACACCTAGTTCCGGTAGCTTATTTAATAAGCTCCGGGCGTTGGTATAACAGATCCGAAGCCTATTTAGGTGGCCTCGTGCTTCACCCAGAGTGGCTTCGGCATCATCCTCTGTCGAAGCCTCACAACCGGAAAATTTACAATTTTCAGGTCTTTTTCGCCAGCGTCTAATCTGAGCTGTAGTTCCTTTTCGGCTTCCCGTCTTTTAACACGGTCCGCCAACGGTAAGTCCTTACGGAGAAAAACTCCTGAACCCTTTAATTTGTGTCCATTTTCTAAGATTAAGTCGCGTTCGTTTGAGGATTTGAAAACGACTTTGAGTAGTCTAGACTGATTTGGTTTCAGATGCGCTAGATTTCCTAATCTATACACCTTTAGCAAGGTGACTCCGGGGATGTTTTTGGGCATAACTTGGTTGAGTAGTTGTTTTATCAACACAATGTCATGCTCAAAACGAGCTTTCGGTTCTAAGTTGTTACTCTCCTTGACTCTATGGAGAATGACTGATCTGTCGCTGTGATCAGACCTCGGCTTGTCGACCCTTTTGGTGGGGGTATGACTTCCTTTTACGTCATTTTGGCGTTTTTTTCTTACGACCCGTACCCAATCGCCAACGTTCTTTGGAGTGGTAACCACATTCGCGTCAGGCGTACTGTGGGATTCCGGAAGAGTCAGGACGACTTGGGAGATCGGGTCATCTTTCGCGCTGGAAACCGATCGAGCCTTGCGGTTTCGGCTTCCTGAAGTTCCCTTCTGGGTACCATTTTTGATACGAGGGACAGAAGAGACTTTTTTGCACGAGTTTCTGGTTGTAACAGTCCTCTTTGGAGGAATAGTGGCTTAGTGAATCTGTGTTAATCCTGACAGATTACTTTCCAGTGAAGGTCCAGGTCTTCTCTTTGACTGCTAACTGATGGTGCTGATATCACTTGTTCTGGTAAGGCGTTCCAGACATTGACTTCTCGGTGAGAATAACAGGACCCCACTTTAAGGTGTAGCTGTTAATACATCCTTAAAATCGATAGCTCTGTAAGTGTTCGACATTGGATGCTGAGCAAATTAGTTTTAGTGGACTCAGTTAGCTGAAGGCGCTCGGTCATGCATCCGTACCAGATCACGTTACAGAACGGCGTGGGAAACATCTACGATCATTTGCCAGATTAAATGGTTCAAATGGTTGAGGACGGAATAGAAGAAGCATTCGCTTAACGGGCTTCCGTGTCTGGTAGCAGTGGATCACCAATACATCCAGGTAAGAACCTAGGTATATGAACGATAATAGAGGAAAAAAGAATTTGGTAAATCATAATAACATGTTATCCTTAGTCCTTAAGAATAAGTCAAGTTTCCTCTTAAAGGACTCCTGGGAGGTCGCTTGGACTAGCTCAGTCGTCAGAGAGTTCCAGCACTTGACAACTCTAACGGAGTAGAAGTTGTATCTGTAGTCTGTTCTGCTATGTAGGGTCTCCAATTTCTGGGTGTTACCTCTGAGGTTAGAGTTATGTCCAAGCTTAAAAAGTTGTTTAAGGGGATGAGCAGAAGTATTAAGGATACTATAAGTCATAAGAAGATCACCTCTAAGACGCCTGTACTCTAACGGGTAAAGGTTAAGTGATTTGAGGCGCTCTTCATAAGGTTTGAATTTGAGACCCCAAACTGATTTCGTGGCTCGACGTTGTATACGTTGCAGAGTGACCTTATCCTTTTGGAGGGAGGGAGGAAATACTATGTTTCCGTACTCTAAATGGGGACGAATAAAACTGTTGAAGATTATATGGAAGGTTCTACCGTCAAACTGGCCAAAAATGCGCTTCAATGTTACCAGTGCAAGGTTTGCTTGAGAGGCGTTTTTGTCACAGTTCGCATACGATTTCAGGTCGTAGGGTACCAACACTCCTAAATCTTTTTCAACTTGGGAAACTTCTAGAGGTGAGTTACCTAAGTTATAACTATAGTCTGCAACATGTCTCAGATGGACTACCTTGCACTTTGAAGTGTTAAAGGTAAGTCCGTTGTCGTCTGTCCAACTTTGAAGTCGGGTCAGATCCTCATGAAGAACTAGTATATCATTATGATTACGTATCTCTCTCCAAAGTTTCACATCATCAGCAAAAAGCAATAAGTCAGATGAAACTTGTTAAGGAAGATCGTTAATGTAAATCAAGAAGAGAAGAGGTTTTAGTATTGAACTCTGGGGGACCCCACTAGGACATTCCATAGCC